CTTGCACACACACACACACACACACACACACACACACACACACACACACACACACACACACACACACACACACACACACACACACACACACACACACAAGAACTTATCAGTGAACGTTGTGCATCTCAAGAAAGAAAAAACACAAAACGTGCCACTGGAAGAATGTGATATAATCAGCAAGAATACAAGATAAATTTCTAACACAAGAGAGCCTTACTTCAGAGAATTGGATTTTTGTCTTCAGGTTTTAATCAGCCACAAGGTGCTGATAATATTCTGGAGTGTTGCAATTTTTTTTTGCAGCTGTGGCGTTTTATTTGCTACAGGTCAAAATTAAGAGTTGTACCAGGCACTGAAAACAAACTACAGCCAACCATTTTCCTCAAACACACTTCTGTGCTATGCTTTCCTTGGTGAAAAAAACAAAAAACAAAGAAACATTCTATACATGTTTCAGCATATTTGTCTCATTATTAGTTTGGTCAGTGGTCGAGTAATGAAGAAAAAAACCTATGAAATCATCACTTCATAGTACACTGTATACCTGTTTTTTCCAAGTCTGGCTCCTGTTTGGACCAGCCCACTGTTAAAAATAGTTTTAAAAAACTACATTTTTACACAGTACACATGAAAGGACTTCAGAAAATTTAAATCTACCCACTACTGGGAAAAAATATATCCCTGCATTGCGCCACTGTTGGGAGAATAAATAATATGAGACTGAAAGAATACATACTAAAACATTTGACGTCTTAAAAAAACCCTGAGTCAAAAGAAACCCTCCCTTTTACCACACTGAAATTTATGGACTGGGGAATCCTGCAAGAATGGCACAAAAAATAAAAAAATAAAAATGAAGGCCTGTGAAAACAGCTGCATAAAACTTTTGATTTGAAACACCTAAAAGTTTACGTCAGTCATTTCTCCAGTCTTGTTCTTCATCAAAAAGTGAAATGGAATGGTTGCAGTGAATGAGACGACAGTTTTTACCTTCAGTCTCCCTTTTCTGAATCTTCTCACACTAGGATTTTAAAACAGTCAATCAGAGGCAGAGATCGGCTCAAGATGTAAAGAATGAACGTGTCGTTATAAGGAGCTACCAGGAAGGGATGTCAACGGATTAAGCCTCCTTTGCTGCCCTTTTCACCTCCACCAATGGAGTCCTTTGTTCCGTTTTGTTCCTTGAAAGCTCGCCCAAAAAACTTCCCACAGAATCTCCTTGAGGTTTTTGTTCTTTTCAACCAGTCTTTCAAAACAATAAAACTTTAATTTCCCTTCCTACTCTCCATTGTCTGTTTTTCTCCTAAATTTTCAGCGTATTATCTCTCCTCTGGTCAGTTATCTCTCAAGTTCCATCTTTGGGGAAATCTGCGCCGCTGTGCTGGGATTACCTGTTTTCCAATTAAATCAAGATGTATTTGCCTTTCAAAAGACTCTCTTTTCTTAGTCTCCCTCCCGTTGGAATAATTGATGGAGGTCTCTGGCCTTGTGATGAATGACTTCCAAGTGGAGAGATGAAAAGAAAGATGAATGATTTCACCCCTGTGTGGACTGGAGTGGGGAGGAACAAGGAGTGCTGACATTGTGACAAATACACTGACCAAAGCAACAAAACCTGGATGAATCAGCAAGGGACGGAGAGGTGGCATGCGCTCATCGCGGCTCAACAGACGCTCACCCTGCCGGCACCACCTCCGCGCGTCTGTGTACACCACAGACAATTACCTGAGCCTTGCAATTAACTTCAGGCTTGGTGATAATGCTGACAGCTTGCCAGGAAAGGAGTGGTGGTGGAAGGAAGCCAGCCAGATAGGACTGGAGAGGATTGTGTCGGCCGCTTGTGTTTGTGCACTCTGTGGATGTGGGAAGGCCAAGAGAACAGGTGCGGTAAAGTGAGGAGATGCCCCAGGTGACTTGATGTGGACGGTGCCACCACTTTCCCAGCCAAGATTGTGAAGATGAAATAAGTTTTTCCCCACTGCTGCTTGCACAGTTTTCTGTCAATGAGCTGGGAGACAGCAAGTATTTTAAAGAAAGAATCCAATGAGCTCATGACGGGCCATCTGTTTCCGAAGACCAGTAGGTAAGTAGGGCGTAGAACTTTATACGCATCGTATGTCCCTTAGGGGTACGATAAGACTGATGGGCAGCAGCACCTACTCAGTTATAAGCATGTGTTCCCAACACAAAACAAAGAAAATCCAAGGTTATTGTGTAGCATTCTGGCTTTTTGTGTTGTGTTGATTCGCAACTTTGTTCTTTTGCAGTTTTGGCGTTTTGCACTCAACCATCAAACATTTTGTACTTTTCAGGTTTAGAGGGAAGTCGCTTCAATACAAACGTTTAAGGAATGGCTTTTTTCAACCATCTTATGTTTGGTTTAGATTAAAATTGGGATTGATAAATAAAATACGTAGGTTAAATGAAACCACCGTATGGGTGGATGTGGTTGTGTGGCAAAAAGTGAGCATGGAGGTCTGTTTTATGCTCGGTTCAGTTAAAGGTTTTAAAGACAAAAATAAGGTCAAAGGCAAAAAATTATGGTTCTGCAAGAGAAAGTGGTACCTGCTGCCTTCTCAGGCTGTTTGCAGTAAGACTGCTCTGCCTCTAGCCTACCTGTTCCTTTGACATGCTGGTCAGTTATTTGTTGCCGACTAAGGCAATATAAATTTAAAATTCAGCTAAAGTATGCAAGTAATTGTGAAGACAGGTTTAACCGGTTTAAAGAAGTGAAAAACCTTATCTGTGTTCATAATAAATCATCTTTTTGTTAAATTATCCTTTAGACCAATACAGTACACCAATGCTACACCAATGAAAGTTGGTGTCTCGCATGTCTTAGATCTGTCCCTGCTGGAACAAAGCTGGATTAATGATTCAATTACATTCTTAGTGTCTTACCATGTTCTATGGAGGCCTGGTAAGCAGCCCTTTATTTGATTCAAGTGATGGAGGCATCTAAAACGTGCAGGACACAGGCTCGAGGACTGGATTTGGAACAGCTCTGCACTATAGTTTCCACATACTCTGCAACACACGAGTGTCAAACTCAAGCCCTGAAGGGCTGTTGTCGTGCAACGTTTAGATGCGTCTTGGCTTCAACATGCCTGAATCACATTATGAAATCATTGGCATCCTCATGTAGAACCGGACTGCAAGCTGTGGAGGTAATTTAGCCATTTTATTCAAAAGTGTTGGATCGTGGACACGTCTAAAAGTCGCAGGACGTCGGCTCCTTAAAGACTGGAGTTTGACACCCCTGCTGTAACATCAATAATCTGTTTGCTTCTACCGTAATTTAATAGAAGAGTAAAAAATACCAGTGACCCAAAAGTATGCTGCTTGCTACTGTGCTGCACTGCTGGATGGGCTGGAAATGTATCTCAATTCATGATATTACTTTTGAGTGAGGCCCACGGCTGTTACATCCAAAGCCCAGAAAAGAGTCACTAGAGGAGAAGTGCTGCTGTGCTGGGCTCTGTTCTGGGCTGTGTGCTCTTCATACCCAGGGGCGATGGATGGATAAAAAGGTTTGAACTGAGCAGGCAGAGCTAGGGACCGAGAGCGGAAGATGAGGGGAATGAGGGCTCAGGGGTATGACGAAGGCAGATCCATTTAGATTAAGCGGCTTTAATATCCTCAAATTTGTCCAAGAAAAAGCAGTTTGCGCTGACGCCGTCCCGTCTTATTTGATTGTCCGGCACAGTTCAGACGATCTCAAATGATGTGGCTTTAAATTGTTACTCTGACAAGGCCTGCATCTCTGCCGTTATTTCAAAAACACAACAAATTGTACTCTGAATTCAGTGATGTCTAAACTGAGGCCCTTTACAGCCACTTAAACGGGTGTAGAAAGCAAATCTAGCAGCCTGTCCAAATAAAGCACTCCCGCGAAATATGCCGAGTCACTTTTATTAAGTTTAAGTCTCCTGGAGAATGAAGACAAAATTATTATACATGTATGGAGTCCTGCAGAATATACTCTATTTATGAGATTTCTTCTTTAAAGACTTAATTTGCTCTTTAACTGAAATGTCAGAGGAAAAACAAATAAAAAAAATATATCGTTCAAGCTAAATTATCTAAAAAAAAACCCATCATTGTAACTTGAGACTGTAAGTCTATATTCAACAGAAAACATGAGATACCCTTATGATTCATACAAAATTATGATATTCTGGAAAGGTATGGCAGGCCAAAGAATGCGTTTATGTTTTTCTTAAATGGAACCTGCTTGACACTGACTCTTGTATATTTGGTAAAATCTACTAATTTAAATTTTAGAAATGTAATCATTCATTCATATGTTTTTTTTTCTTCTTGCATATTAGATTTTGTAAAGTTCAGTAAAGTTACAACATAACAAAAAGGGAAACAAAATAATATAGTTCATTCATGAACCAAATCATTAAAGTGTTCCTCCCCCTTCAAACGTTTTTGTTTGGCACTCTGTCGTTTTCAGTAGTAGATACTCTTATGGTCACACTTGTCTTGAAACCTGTACAAATTACACTAAACCCGTAATAAAAAAATGCACAACAGGAATAAACATACCCAATTGTTATTAGCTGCTAAAAATATTATGGTTCCTTAAAAGTCACATATTAAATCAATAAAATGTGTTTTTTTTATTGAAAAGCAGCATCATTTTTGTCCTTATTGTGATTAAAAATTATATACCTGTTGTAAAGCAAATCATAAACTTTTGCCTGGGAACCGCCTGGACTTACAGAGTTGTGCGGTTGACCTTTAGAAAGTGGTCAGCTTCCTTCATAACTTGCTGTTCAACTCGGTGACCAACCATCGCATTGTAAATGACGGCCCTAAATGTCACCACAGTTGTTCAAACACCTTGGGATCTTAAACATCTTGTCACACTGATTATTAAGCTCTCAAATGCAGATATTTCTCGACATATTTGGATTTGGACCAGCCAGTGATAAAACACTGCAGTTGCGGGCGTGAGCCAAGAGAGGAAACGATGGAATATGGTTTCATACCCGTGAGGTATTCTGGGTCAGGCACAGGGTCTGACAGCTCCTCGTGGCACTGGACCTCCGTTGGCACCGATGCCACCACCATGCCATCTGGGAGCTGCTGCTCAATGCCTCGGGCAAAGTTCTTCTGCCTGGTGAAAAGACGGACAACAGGAGGTTACTTTTTTTTTTTTTTTTAAGAGTTCAGTGGAGCAACATGATAAAGAAGAAAAGAGGGTGCTGGAAGAGGAGCATGTTAAGACATTGACACAAGAGTGGTTATGAGATGGGGGCAGAGAAAGAACATCTATACTGCATGCAAACACTTTTGTCGTGTGCATATTAGTAGCAAAGAAAGTTAAATACTTCTGGGGCGTGTGGGGGGAGTGTTATGTCCTTTTATCTGCTTTATAGGCATTTTGACAAATGATAACCAGGTGGCCAAGGTAGCACTGATTAAAAAATAAATAAATAGTTATGTCCAAAACACGGAAGTGTCTGGTTCTGTCAGAGCAGACGGACAGATGATATGCATTATGTGAATACATGTGGAAACGCGTGTGAAGCCCAATCTTGCTCCACAGACTGGGTGACAGACTGTATATATAATTTGTTCAGTCAGCTGCCACTGCTGCCGCCTGAGTGTCAATGGTGTTAGACACTTCGAGGCATGTAGAGGATTATACAACCACAAAAGTCAACACTGGAAAAAAAAAAAAAAGTGTGAACTATTCATTTGTTTGCTATTAAAGGATGATAAACTTATTGATGCTCTCTTATTTCCCCTTTATGTTTGAGTATACTTTTGTTCTCTTTTAAACATGGGGTACTTTTTAAATTGCTATACATTAATCCCAAATCCTTGTTGGCATTTCAGATCAACTTAAAATAAGTTAGAACTCACCAATGTAACTAAATCCTTATCTTGTTTATTTTAAAAAGGTGTTATGAATATTTTGTGTGTTATTTGAGGGAATAACGTTATAATATGAAGCTCAAAAAAGTTGATTTTACATAATCCATCCCGACCACCCCCTGAGGTGTTATTTACCAAGGTCTTAGGTTTATTCTGTCTCAGCTATTGTAACCCATTCTCTTGGGTTAGTGGAGAGACTGGAGTCGTGTGGCCAGCTTAGCAACACCGTTGCTTCATGTAATGAATATTCACGACCCTCCAGTGACCCACTTTCAGACGCAACTTTCTCCATTGACTTTTCAGACTCCATTTTCATTCAATAGAGCACAAGTGAAAAAAACAACCTAGTTTGCATCAAAGTGAAATACATGCACAATAATAATAATAATAATAAAAAAAAACTACAACAAAATAGGAGAGGTTAGATAACGTATAAAAGCAGTGAATAAAACCCCCAAGCAATAAACAAGTAAACATTGTATGCAAGTGATTAAACCAAATAAAAGGCAGTTCCAGCCAGTATCATCTTTAACCTCTGTAGCCGTTGGAGGCGGCAACTGAAAAGGACTTAAATGTAAGATTAATTAATAAGTCTGCAAGATACTTAAGAACAATTTCATGAAGACAAAGCATTCAAGTCAAAGCATTATTTAACTCTAATAGGACGATGAATTTTGAAGGCAATAAAGTTAACACAGGTCAAACCCAATTTACAAAGACTTGCAATAACCTAAGCATTAAGACTTTAAAAAAAAAAAAAAGCCCATATCATCCATACATGTCTGATGGAAATGCTGGTGCTGCTGTATGCCCCTCCCTGTCCGTAGATCTCACACACCGCTAGTAGTGATAGATGCAAGAGTACCATTTCTTTTTATTGTGTTGTCTAAGGTAACTGACATGCAAGCTCCTAAATGGGTTAAAATTCAGTAAAACTTTAACTAGACACCAGAAAAACAAACAAAAAAAAGTCTACAACAACAACAACAACAACCCAAAGTCCTATTTGAGTTACTTTTACTCGCTCCATGGATGGATGCAGGAATAAGGTTGGAATAGTGGAAAAACGAAGAAAGAAAAAATCCACATAGGAAAGTTTATTTGTACTGCTACAGTAAAAAAAAAAAAGTATTTAGGGTGTCTTCACTCACTACGTCTGTTTTCTTTTGCAGCAAATGACTCCTGCTTGAACTCCCTAACGGGGCCCATTTCATCACCCCCCACTTACGGTGCCGGTTAGGGTCACAACAAGGTTTCAAAGCATAACAACTTCAATAAATCAGTGGCTTAAGTCCTTCAGCTGTCTCAAGACCACAGCTAATGAGGAAATATCTTCTTCTTTTCTCCTCTAGGAAACTGCAGTCATTATCTTCACTCCAGGCTTACAACTTACAAACGCCCTTTGTAACCTTGTACTGTACTTTTTTTCATTTTTTTTTCACAAGTAATGTTTTATTGAATATTTCAGTTCAATGTTGCATGAATAAGCATGTTCTTCCTGCACACTATAGGGCGAGGAAGGCAAAAACTGTATGAAATACAATATATCTTAGGAAAGAAGCTGTGCCATGCTTTGCTGTAACATGACTTTCATGATCACAGTTAAGTTTGTACGTAATAATTTGTAGCCGATAAATGTGCCACAAAGTTGACCAGAGTGAACAACTTTATCCCGACTACTGTTTGATGTAGGAGAGGTCCATCAGAGGTTTTTCTGCAGTGGGGGGGAGTGACTGTTGCCATTGGAAACCAGCCTAATGAGAGTAGTGAGACTGAATACAGACCATTACAGCCGTAAACCTGAACCCATGGCTTATAAGACATTAAACTGCCTTGTAAAGCTAAAGGGCAAGAGCGGTATAATAACTTTTTGCTGATTTGTAATTGGAGGTAATCAGTCTTGCATATTAATTTGACCCAAGCTGCTTATAAACGCACAGCCTTAAGATTGTGTGCCTCTTCTTAATTGGACATTTCGTAAGCAAACTGTAAACAGTTTAAACCAATTTGCAAGTCGGTACCACGATCCAGTACGGACGCGCACGCGGTTTTTCCATTTTGAAACAAAATCGTTGACATCTATCAGTCTGGAACCGTTTACAAAGCCATTTCTGCACAAATGCAGAAAACATGGAAAAGTTGTGAACCTTCCCACCACTTGGCTGACCAACCAAAATTACCCAAAGAGGACATGGAGTACTGGAGATTCCTCTTGTCTCATTTAAGGTTGGTGTGTTCATGATTTATGTACATAATATTCCAAGACAAAATTTCAGAGAAGTAGTTTCCTGTGCTGTAAACATTTTATACTAAGTGTATGTTAATTGTAGGCACCCCTAGTATTACGTTTTTGAACATACATGAGTGGGCAATTAAAATGCACGGAGGATTTTTCAGCTTCACACTCCACCTACTTCTGTTGTTAATATACACTCCATATAATGCTTCATTTGATTCATGCGGCGTCTGACGGGGGCTGAGCTGTAAAAACAGCACACACAAATATTTACAAAGCACAAAGTGATGCCTTTGGGAAAGTCACAGCGTTGGAACAACAGAACCCACAGGCTGAAGCGAAACGCTGGTAGAAAGGCCGTGTGCAATGTAACATTAAAATGCCTTTGAGATTTTACAGACACGGTGTGGCTGAGGGTGAAACGGTAATTAAGAGAAACAAAGCCGAGTGTTGATCGGACAGACTCCTTTTCATGCAGCCCAGACATCTTGACTGAACTACATGTAAAATTACAGAGAAACAGGGAAGTGACATATCCAGAAACAGACGCAGTTAAGCTTTTGTAAGCTTTATTTGTCAGCTCAGCGTCACAGATGACTGCCGGCGTGCTCGATTCCATGAACTGAAGCCCCGGTGTTTGCTTGAGGTTCTTCACTTTAGACCAGGGGTGCCCAAAGTCGGTCCCTCGAGAGCCGGCATCCTGCGTGATTTAGTTCTCTCCCTGGTTTAACGCACCTGGATCAAATGATGGCTCATTAGAGGAATAAGAACAACACTGACATGCTGAAATGGTTGTCATTTTGTGTGCAACTTTAAGGATGCAAGTAGGATTTATCAAATCATACAACCTTAAGGCATTTAAAACCCAGTTAAAACTGATGAAGTAATTTCTTACTGATTATTCTTAATCTGCTACATGGAAATGTGGTTATCTGACTACAATAAATAACATCTAGTAGCAAAAGGTCTCGCATAGTTATTTTGGTTTTTGTCATCAGCCACGGCCTCTCATATTTTACGCAGTTGACTCTTCCAAATTAATATGTGAAACACATTCAATCATAAAATTTAGTGCAAATACACGAGACCTGTGTAATTTTATGATACAACATCTCAGTGTTGATTTAAAAAGACCTTGTTACATTCTTTTATTTAGTTTATTGGCACTTAGTGGAAGGAGGCTAGAATGAGTGGCAATTAAATCAAGAACAACCGTTAATGTACACTTGTGAAAAATTATGGGTAATTTTAGCCATTTAGTAAAATGTAGGCCAATTCTTATACTTTGATCCACTTTAAAGCATCATCTTTTTGACAGGTTGTGAATCCCTATCAATCAGTGAATCTGTATTATTTTAGTGGTTCAGTGATGAAAACAAACGCTTCCTCGTTGATGCCGTTTATGTAAATTGTGCCGTTTGACACCAAAAGCGCGGTTTGACTTGTTCCTCCAGAGTCTGCTTTTTGCTGATGAATGTGGCAGAGAGGGAATGAGAAGAAAAGGAATAAAAAAAAAATAAAAATGCTCCCCTGACAAAAATATAAAAGAAATTTTAACAATAACACTGCTATGCTTGATGCTTTTACAGTGGCTTCACTCTAAAACTCTGTTCAAAAGGTGCAACTGTAAATGCTCTTCACAGATACTGACTTGCGCTGCGTACGGAAAATATTCACAGCACTCCACCTTTACCTCGGCACGTTAAGTGGAGACGCCGACATGTAAAGAAGAGCCACTGAAATCAACCACGACTCCTAGAAAATCTTCTTGAACACACCTCAGAAAACTAAGGCGTGCCCACATGCGACAAGGAAAGGCGGAAGAGGACTCTAGTTTTAGGTTAGCTGTCTAAACGTATGTTGTTGTTTTTTTCCTGGACTATGCTATACGGCTCATCCGCTTGCACTGAAATATAAGTTATGCGTTGCTAAATTTGCAGCCCAAAGCAATCACAAACGAGGCTGGCTGGGATTTGATCACGCTGGAGTCAAACATCTGT